ATCTTTTTTTTTTTTTTTTTGATTTTTCGCATCTTATACATCATCTCCATCATGATGAGATTACAATCCTGATATTGTTACTGGCATCACTAATTGAGTTTGTGATAGAAGCTGAGGGAATGGGATGATGGATTCAAAATCTATAGGGCTTTCGTTAAGAATCCTACTAACCGTGAATATATTCTCAAATTTGAGCTGTATTTTTCTCTCTTTTCTTAACGGTTAAGAGGTTGAGCATCAGAAATCCATGGAACTACTTTCCATCCTGACTCTGCCACTTACCAGCCGTGTGAACCTGAAGAAGTCACTTCATGTCTGTGAGTCTGTGTCCTTACCTGTAAAATGAAGCTTGCAGCGCTTATCCCATGGGCTGCTGTGCGGTTGGAATGACGTAATACAGAGAAAGCTTTTAACACAGTGTGTGGCACATACTGCATTCCCTGTGAGATGGTCCCTGTTGTTATTATGCTGCTTAGCTTGGCGTCAGCTACTGTTACTATTCTTAGAGCTCACAGTGGCATAAATATTCTCTTCACTTAAAGACATGATCCACAGGCTCAGAGAGGTGACATCACCAACCCAGGGTCACTCAGCTTGAAGAGTGACCTTTAACCTCCATTTCCTCAGGTCCAGTTCTCCTGCTCTGCCCTGCAGTGTGCTGCCTACAGAGTGCTTCCTGCCGGTTAGAGGCTGGTGATCTCCCATTCATGCTGCACCCGAGGAGATGCCCACCAAATGTTTCTTTGACTGCATGGACAGGGACTGGGACCTTGGCATCTCCATCTTTTTTCTGTAGCACATTCCCTCCCCTCCTCTGGGCCCTGATCTTCTTAGGTGTAATGCACAAGAGGGTTTGGATGAAATAGATTCTATAGTCCCTTTCTCATTGTTTACTGGTTCTTGAATAGCCCTAAGCATGTAGTAGGTACCCTGTGACTTTTCATAGTGAGGCTGGGAGTAGAGGGAGGCAAGCCAGGCACCCAGGTTGCAAAATTTAAGGAGGTACAGACTCTGTGGGTCCTTCCAGTGCTGTGTGGCACCTGGGAGTGTGTGATGCCTTAACTCTTATGCCTTTAGCCACTCTCCTCTCACCCCAGTCTCACTTCTGCTTCATAAGGCCTGTGGAAGTATAATGACTCAGTGGCCCAAACAGGTTTTTTTTTTTTTCCCCCTCTTTTAAAACCCCAGTGATGTGTAGATGATGTTTTTAATAAGAATTGCCGGTACTTTGAATAGCTCTGTTCAAAAAGACATTTTTGAAAAAGCCCATTATTATCTAGTTATATATTTTAGGCTTCTGGGGAAAATAGCAATGGTATGGGATTGTAAGAAATAGAAGGCATGTGATAGGAAAAGATGAAATTACCGTAACAACCATTAGACTAGCCAAGGAAATAATTTCCAATGATACAGTCTTTATTGGTACAAGTGTTTCCCCCCACCAAAAAAAAAAACCAGACCAAGAGAATTTTCACACTTATTTCTTTGGTTTAATTGTCTATTTGTTTCAAAGTGAAAGCTAATTAAAAGATTATTTTCATATGCTTTAATCACACTACAGCTAACTGTTGGAAAATTTGCGATTAATTGATGCAACCGTTGACATAAGAATGCATTTTAAAAAAAATAACATCACTATTTGAATACACAGAGTGAAGCAATTAGTCCTTCATTAGTTCTGAGTTATTTCAAATGCTTTGAAATACTTGTGTGTTTAATGTTTAATCATCAAGGAAATATATCTGGCAATGCTGCTAGCCCCAGCATCATGAATTAAATATCATCCTTTGGGAGCAGCGAGAGCTCAGGAAGAAAAATGGCAGCCTCCCCAGGCCTGGGGGTGGGTGAATTCCTCCGCTGTCCGGGCGCTGGCACAGGGGGCGCTCTTAATGTGTCAGTGCTTCTCTCGTGCTTGTCACTTCCCGAGCCTGGCTATGCAGGGTGCAGTTGGTTGCCTTGGAAGGGAGCTGACTGGGAGGGACAGCTCCCAAGTCTAGAGCCCCCTACCGGTGTGGGGGTGTTAGAGTATCAGCAGCCACAGGGGAAGGGGAGGGAGGGATGACAGGCTGGCAGACTGAATGCAGTGTCTAGAGTGTGGGGACCAGCATTTTGGGCAGGAAGACGTCACTGGTGTCTCTGCTGGAAGCCTGGAGGATGGATGGAGACATGTTTCAAACAGCAACAGAGCTTGTTAAGGGGGTGCTTCCTGGTGAGAAAGCTTCAGAGGTATGTAGACTTCAACAGGTTCACTGGCAGACCATGAGTGTGTCTTTGGTGTGTAGGTTAGAATCAAAGGGATCCTTTCAAATTGGCAGTGAGAGTTCTTCCCAGGCATATCCTTATGGCTATCAGACACAACACACAACAGAACCAGAGGTCACATTTTCCCTGATCAGTAGAAAATACATCAAAGGCTGAAAGTTTTCATCCTTTGGAGACCTGACTACAGAATAAATAAGCATTCATATCTAGGCTTCATACTGAGTTCTGTATTGCATTTTCTTATTTAATTCTCAAAGTAGTCCAGTGAAGTAGTCATGTATATATAGTTTTCCTACTCTACAGGTAGGGAAAGTGAGGCATGAAGAGATTAAGTGACATATTAGACTGGACCTCTCCCTTATGCCTGTCTCATTAGCTTGTAGAGTAAATAAAATATGATACTCCCTATTGTTCAGAGCACACTGTGGCTTGTATGGGATAGAGGAGCTGCCCAAGGATGCGCGCACACACACGTGCATGCACACACACACACACAAACTTGGTAAATAGATGAACCAGTGTTTTAAGTCAAGTCTCTCTGACTCCAAATTCACTCAGGGCTCAGTGTGGGTGTGTGTGGTTCTGCTAATGTGTCACGGGTGTGCAAAGACAAAGAAGAGCTCTGTTGGTGCACCATGCTTTGATGCGAGACTCACTCTGTGTCATCAGCCAGGTTAGCAGAATGGAAGCAAATGTAGCTTCCAGGAGACCCCAGATTACGTCCTCTCTCCTCAGCAGATATAGTAAGGATTCTTCAGGGCAGGGATTAAAAATATCAGAAGCCCGAGACTGGGCCAATGACAGCACAACAAAGTGCCGGGCTGCATGTCTGCAGATATATTTGAAGACTGGAGATGAGACTCTTAGGGAGTGCGGGGGGAGGTGGGGACTGGGAGTGACCACGGCCTGCCCCTCTTCTAAAACCTGTGTTGAAGGTGAACAGTGGAATGATGCTTCAGGGCTCTGTCTGCCTGTCTTTCGTGGCATAAACAGAGGCTGGGACTCTCGGCCAGGCCCTGTCTGCCATCTACAAGTCTCTCCCGTAGCGTGGACCCCCCTGTCCTAGAGCGGCTGGAGTGCATTGGGAGAGAGTAACCATGAGAGGAGCTGGGAGTTTAGTGCGGAGTGGCCACAGAGCGCGGCTCCGGCTGCGGAAACAGTGGGTGGGGGCAGCTGGCCGCACTGGAAGCCGGAGGAGTGGGAATACCCTCCTGGTCCTGAATTTCCCTGGGGAAGCCAAGGAGGGGGGAAATCACAGGGTCGGGAACCATGTGTGCTCGAGACTGGGATGGGAAAGGACTGTGTAGATTTGGGGCCTGGGGAGGGCTTCAGCGTCACGGGGGTATAGGAGGCAGGTGCTGGGCTGCTGGATCAGCATCGAGAAGCCCTAGGAGTTCCATCTGTCTGGGGAGCCCGAATGTCCTCCGATAGCCAGCACACATTCATAGACAGAGAATGCGAGAAACCAGTGCATTTCCCAGGAGGTCAGAATCAGAATGTGTTTGAGGTGGTGATGAAAGCCCAACTAGATAAACTGGGCTGCAGCCTTTTTTCTTGTATTTCTTTTGTATTTCTGTGTTTGTAGTCTCCCTCTTTTTTTTTTTTCTATCTCCCTCTTTTTCCACAAAGGAGGGAAGATGCACATAGTCTGCATTATCTCAAAAAACTAGAGGAAATCCAAGATGGTAAAATACACAGCTGAGGGAGTGGGGTGGAGATTAGAGTCTCTAAGAGCTTGGGTTCAGGTGCGGCTCCAGAGCTGGCAGTGAGGTTCCTGGCAGTCTTGGTAGAGCCAGGCTCCATCGTGGTCACATGATACACACAGACTGCATCCCCTCCTCCTGATACAGGACGGGAAATGCTCTCGTGGATTCAATGAAAGCAGTGTTTGAAGGGACATTTCAGGAATTTAAATAAGCTATTCTCTTAAAATATGTTAATTAATTAAATTTTTTAGTTTTCATTTGCTCTATTTGACATACAATGTTGGTTTCAGGTATACAGCATCCTGAATGGATATTTTTTTTTCCTTTCACTGAATTTATTTATTTAAATTTTTGTTTATTTGGCTGCGCTGGATCTACGGTCTTCATTGCAGCAGGTGGGATCTAGTTCCCTGACTAGGGATCGAACTCAGGTCCCCTTTATTGGGCGTGCAGATTCTTAGCCACTGGACCATTCGGGAGTTCCTATATTTATCTTTTTAATTCATGTACGGTTGATTTCCAATATTGTGTTAGTTTCAGAGGTACAGCAAAGTGATTCATATATATATATGTATATGTATATTCAGATTATTTTCCATTACAAATTATTACAAGATATTGAACAAGTTCTCTCTGTTATACAGTAAATCCCTGTTGCTTGTCCATTTTCTTTCTTTCTTTTTTTTTTTTCCTTTTAGGGGTGTTCTGGGTTAGCGGTAAATATCTTTTTTCCATCTAGAAAGGAAGTGTTGGAGTATAGAAAGTGGATTACATAGTTACATTGGCATGTCACGCGAAGAGTTGTGTAAAGACAGAAGTGGGAAGTAAAGCACTGAAAGCTAAGCCAAGGATTTACACTTTCTTTAGTTCCGATGTTCATTGAGAGGGTTTACAATGTAAACCAGGCACGAGCTGGTGGGGGTGGGGGCGGGAAAGAAAGTTTGTATATATAAACAACCACAAAGCCTTAAGGTAATTGCTACAAGGGATGTTATTTTCAAACACAGAGTTAACACCGAAAAGGAGGAACAACTAAGTGTGCCCACAGGGTGATCGAGAAAGGCTCGCCCAGGATGGCCTCGCACCAGGCGTGGGACTTTGCCCCACCGGGCCCGGGCGAGACCATTCGGGACCCAGGGCCTCGGCTCTGCGCTTAGCGGCGCCGGACATCTCCCCCGCGGGGGCGAGCGCGCGCCGGGGGCGGGGAGACCCCGGGCTCGGAGAGCAGGGCCCGGCCAGGAGTTCCGGGCCGCGGTCCTACTGGACCCAGAGAGAACCACGGGCGGTGTCCTGGGAGGAGGGGCGGGCGAGATAGGGACACGAACATAGAGCTCGCCCCCAACCAGCTTGCAATCGCCCCCAGATTGCAAAGGAGCGGGTAGAGGGGTCTGGGCGGGGCCGTCTCTACAGATCCGCGCGGGACTTATCGGGACAACCCTGCTTCCTTGGTTTTTGAAAGACGCCTTTCTGTCATTTATCAGTTTGGTCTGAATTCTAACTACTGCTGCCTCCAAGTTTCTAAATGTTCCTCTATTCAAAAAAAAAAAAAGAAAAAGAAAACGAAAACTTCCTTTTTCCCTCTCGAAGCAAAGCCTAGACTTCTGAGGCTTAGCACTCAAGGCCAGAAGGCTCCCGGAAACCACTTGAATCCGGCGCCTCAGCCACCCTGCTTGTCCATTTTCTATGCAGGAGTTTGCACCTGTTAATCACATGCTCCTAATTTATCCTTGCCCTCTCTCCTTTCCCCTTTAATAACCATACATTTAGTTTCTACGTCTGTGAGCCTATTTCTGTTTTGCATATAGACTCATTTGTATTATTTTTTAAGGCAATCAGATATTTTTGCATATTATGAAATAATTACCACAGTTACCATCTAGCACCATAAAAAGTTGTTACAGTGTTATTGACTGTATTCCCTTATATGTCTTGTTACATCCCGGTGACTGATTCATTTTATAGCTGGAAGTTTGCACCTCATAACCCTGTTCTTGTATTTTACCCCGCCCCCCCATGCCTCTCTCCCTCTGGCAACCACCAGTTTGTTCTCTGTGTCTGTTTTGTTTGTTTTCTTCTTTCAGATTCTTCATAGGATTGAAATCATATGATGTTTTTCTCTGACTTCCTTCTCTTAACATAAGGCCCTCAAGGACCATCTATATTGTTGCAAGTAGTGAGGTTTCATGGGCTCCTCCAAGGAGGGCTGATAAGTTTCCACCGAAACTCAATTTAGCCCCAGAAATTCTGAGGGCGACAGAGAAAAGAAATGTGACCCAGGCTTGCAGATCTTTCTCCATCTGGCTTGATCACAGCCTAAATCTAGGCTAATGTGATGACTTTTATTTTTTTAAGGCATTGGCATCAGTTTCTACAAATGTGATTGGTTTCTTATATGCAACCCCAGTATCCCACATGTAACAGAGAAGTCCTGCGTCCTCTGGACTGGGGGAGAGGCAGGGGCTTGGCTTCTCATGAGCCTCAGGGACACCCCCAGGATTTGCAGGCCTCTGGGGAAGATAATCTGGAAAACTGCTGATCTGAAGGAATGACGGACAGCACATCCTCTGGGCAATGCTCTGTAAATATTATTCCTCTAGGCTGGGGTCTGACGAGGTTTGGAGGGTAATATGCTCAGGTGAAGATTGATGTCTGTGCTGCTGATTGAAGGTAATTTTGCAAATGCTGACAAGCAATCAAGGGCCCAATACCCCGGGCTCACTTAGCCTCCAGTCCCAGGTCTCAGAGGATCCCACCTTTGAGAATCCAAGGTCCTGAGAGTGGGCTCCGGGGCCATGTCGCCCCCATCCTGGCCCTGACGGGAAGCTGGCTCACTCTGACAAAGTCTCTCAGGACTGGGTTGCTGTAGATCTTTTTAATTGTTTCTTGACATGCTTTTTAAGCTGTCACGCTGAGATGTGATTCCCATCTCTGTTTACCTAATCAGTCACTGGGGGAGACACTTGGAGAATTGTTATGATTAGACATCAGCCTGCACACACGCTCTTTCCCCTCACCTGGTTCTCTCCATCTTCCCAAACGTCTCTGGAGCTGCCAAGAAACTGGCAAGTTCTTTGGCAGCAACAAAAATAAAGAACCCACCTTGGGGAAGGGAAGCAACTAATTGGTCCTCCATGGTGCTGGCTGGACGTGGAGGTCCCATCACGCCTAACCAGGCAGCTACTCCTTGCCTGGCACTAAGATGGTTGGGGGCAGTGGCTGTGGGCATGAAGGGGATATATGCTCTGAGGGACTCATATGGTCAGGGGGCTGAGGCCAGCACACCCATATGTATAATTTGGTTATACAAATTGAATCTTGGAGTGATTCAAGGAGGGATGCATCAATTCTAGAAACAGACAAGCACCTCTCAAGAGCTGGGTCTTAAAGGAAAGTGGGATATAAATAGGGGAATAATGGGGTCCCTGCTCAGTGGTATGTTAGCAGTTGTGCCTGGAGCTTAATCTGCTGCATCCCACTTAGCTTTCCCAAAGCCTCCTGGGAAGGAGGGCCCTGGGTGAGGACGGCCAGGTGTGGGGAGGTCATCTGAGAGCACATGCTCCTGCCTAGCTGAGATGGGGACACTTAAGTTCACTCAGCCCACCTCCAAGGTCTCTGAACCCTCTGTTACCTGTTACCCCATGTTGTTTCCCATCAGAGACCTGAGTCAAAGCCCAAACAACAGATGTAGGTTGGTGCAGAGAAGAAAGACCTGATGAACAAAGAGCGATGAGAAGGTAACTAGTGACCTTGGCAAATTCTGGATCTCGGAAGCCCAGGTCGTGCTAGTTTAGAGTTAGGTGGTGCTAATGGTAAAGAACCTGCCTGCCAATGCAGGAGACATAAAAGATGCTGATTTGATCTCTGGGGTCAGGAAGATCCCCTGGAGGAGGGCAGGGCAACCCACTCTAGAATCCTTGCCTGGAGAATCCCCATCGACCGAGGAGCCTGGTAGGCTACAGTCCATAGGATTACAAAGGGTTGGACACAGCTGAAGGGACTTAGCATGCATGCATACACAGCAGTTTGGGGCCAGGGTCTCAAACATCAGTAACGTTTCTTAGTTAAGAAGTCATTCAACCTTTCTTAGCCTCATGTTGCTCAGCTGTCGGTGAGGGGTAGTGATAGCATCTTCTTCAGAGGGTTGCATTGAGAAGCAAATAAGATGAAGCATACACAGCGCTGGACTTGACCTCTGACCCAGAGTCGGCCTTAGACAAATACTGGTTATTACTGTTGTTGACGAGTGAGAAGTAGCAGGAGTGGTAGATGAGGCAGCTGAGAGGAGAGGGAAGAGCACTGTGATCTTATGACATGGAAAGTGCTAGAGTCGGAAGGACACTTAATGGGTCCTTTTGTCTGAACCTCCCCATTCTTAGGGAGTAAATGGTGGCCACCATGGAGAGAAAGACCTAGTCCAGGTCACCCAAATCTTGACGGAAGGACCAGGGCCTAAACTTGAATCTTCTGCTTTTATGTCTTAGGCTGCATTCTCCAGAACCTCCCATGAAATCCCTCCATTGATTTCCTCCCTTAAAGGATGGTTGTTGTCCATTGTTCAGTCACTCAGTTGTGTCTGACTCTCTGTGACCCCATGGACTGCAGCATGCCAGACTTCCCTGTCCTTCACCATCTCCCCAATGTCATCCAGGGTAGTGATGACTCTCAAACTTCTTAATCTCATTGTAAGGAATATTTGAGGCAATAATGTCTATCAATCAGGCCAAATTCCTCCTCAGAAGAAAAAACAATTGTTGATTTCGCGCTGGGTTAGTAAAATACTGAGTCACTTAGTTCAGAGGAAATGGACGGGGTGGGGAGACAGGATTAATTAAGACACTGCCTCTTCTGACCTCCAAGTTTATATTTACTTCTCTCTGTCACACTCCTTCAGTCATTTTTTTGCTGAAATTAAGAGCCGTGGCTTCAAATAGAGCCACTTGCTTCACACACTCTTCCTTCCTTGCTTCAAGAAACCCTATGTTTGTGGCTAACTCATATAGTGTCAGTTGTTAAAAAATGCCAAGGGACACAGAAAACAGAGCCTGAAATGTTTCATCTGGAAGAAACAAAGGCACACACAGACAAACGAGGGGACAATTAGTTTTTGTTTGGGCTGAAGCCAGCGGGGTATTTGTCATGTAAGTGGGAGTCTGTAGAATTTAATAGGATTACTGTAGGGCAAGGAAGTCCATTTGGAGAGGGGAGAAAAAGCCCAGGGGCGAAACCTGCTCGTACACATTTTTATGAATACTTACAAAAAAATCCAACCCAGGAGTAACCCACCTAATATTTGAAATAATGTCACCACCAATGGTAATGTAATGTTAATGAATGGCCATTTAACTAAGCCTTATTTTGAGCACTCTACATTGGTGATCACATTTAATCCTTGTAGGATGGCTCAGTGGTAAAGAATCTGCCTGCCAAACAGGAGACACAAGAGACGCGTGTTTGATCCCTGGGTCAGGAAGATACCCTGGAGGAGGTATACCCTGGAGGTACCCACTCCAGTATTCTTGCCTGGAAAATTCCATGGACAGAGGAGCCCCGAGGGTGACAGTTTATAAAATCACAAAGCATTGAACACAACTGAGCATGCATGTACACATACATTAGTGATCACGTTTAATCCTTGCAGGGTCAAAAGACATGTGTTGTTATTCCTCCTTTGGTAGTTAAAGATGCCAGGGCCAAAAGGGGCTGAAACTTGGAAAACTACTAAAGTAGTAAATGGTGGAGGTGTGATTTGAGCTTTATTCCAAGGCTTCTTCCCCAATTCTACCTCCTCTGATATGCCCTGGGAGCACAGGTAGGATCCATACACCCAGCTGATACATCAGGAGTGATGTTGCCAGTGTGGACATCTGGACAGGGCAAAGGTGTATGTCAAAGTCTGTGGATTCATCCAGGGTTCAAAATCAAACATTTCCATAAGACAAGTAAGAATGTGGGAACTCTGGCACAGTAATTCTAATGGAAACAGGTTTACTGCCGCCTGACAAGTTGGAGTTAATGCTTTCTGAAGCCTGCCTTCCCTCCTCTGACATGTGCTGGAGCATGTTTTCTAATGCCTTTCTCTGCCCCAGACGCCCAGCAAGATTTGGCTTGATAGGGACTTGCTGATCTATTGACCGACTGATTGATTGATTAATTGATATATTGCAGTTGTATGATTTGGGGCTTCCAGCTTCGGCTGGGAATTGATTTTAATCTTCACAGGTTAAGAACAAAAGCTATCAAATCCCTTACAGGAGATG